CTTTTTCTTTCCCTGTTCTTGATCCCCTTGCTGCCCCCACGCCTTCAGGGTGTGTGGCCTTTGGGCCACCAGCTCCATGCTTCCTGGCCTGCATGCTCCTCCACAGGGCTGGCTTTTAGCCTGCTCTCTGCTCCGTAGGAGTCCAGATTTCCCTTTCTCTTTTAGATAGAGTCCTCACTCTCCTATGCATTTTTCTCACTGAATAAAAAGCTTAAAACTTAACATGCTGCCTGGTTTATTTGTGCCAGTATTCAGGATTCTTCTCTGAATGTGTGGCAAGAGCCCACATGGCTTATTAATATTAATATATTAATAAACAAATCAGTAACACTTGGACCCCTGCACCCATGTCAGAGTCCCGGAAGAAGCTCCTGCCTCCTGGCTTCAGAGCGGCCCAACTCCGGCCATTTCAGCTATTTTGGGGCATGAACCAGCAGATGGAAGATCTCTCTCTTCTCTCTCTCTCTGGCTCCACCTCTCTGTAACTCTTACTTTCAAATAAATAAATAAATCTTTAAAATATTTTGCATCTAAATAAGCTAATCTTTTAATTCCACTTTCATGAGCTGTTTGAACTAGCCTCATATCTGTGCATCAGCAAATGTTTCTTAAATATAATTCAGTGCCGAGAAAATCTCCAGGTTGTAGACGATACTAAATCCCCCTATGTATACAGGTTCAATCAAGGATAAACTGAAAGAGGGCTTTACAGTACTTGGTACATAGTAAGTGCCCAAGTAAATAGCTGATAACTGAGTAAAGTGGATAAGTTTAGTCTACACGGTCCTTGATTCATTGGAGGTGCTTGCTAAACACTGAATTAACTAATTCACTTCTTGAGGGAAAGGCTGGAAAGCTAGGCTGAATTCATACTGTGGAAGGTCTCCATACTATGCAAATTCTAACTTAATCATTTCCCTGATCAAAAACTTCCCCAATGTCAATTTGGCAGCAGAAAGATGGTAAATGAAGTGCAGAGAGATGAACAACAGGAGGCCAGTTAGGAGATTAGAAAAGCAGTCTTGTTGAAAAGTAGTGAGGCCTCAATTTAGCAGGTATGGTAGGAATGGAAATGGGATAAGGAATTCAGGAGACAATGATTAGGTGCATGGGTGGGAAGTGCTTGAGGAGGAATTGAAAGATGATTCCAAGGTTTGGAACCTGGATAACTGGAAAACATAGGTCTATGAGTAGCATTGTTATGTGAGTCAAAAGGTCTAATCTGAATGAAGGAATGAAGGAACTTGTGTGGCATCCTAGTGCAAATATCAAAATAGGCACTTAGAAAGTTGACCCTGCAGTTCAGGGGTGAGATCGGAACCAGCAGTCGACTTGGCAGCCATATATGCAATGTTGAAGCTGTAGGAACTATTGCATTCTCCAAAGAAGAGAAGGTGAAAAGAGACCTCAGTCTCAGGGCAATAGTAGCCTATGTTCTAGTAGAATAAAGAAAAGGTCGGTCACAGCCATCAGAATGCGGCGTAAGAATGCTGGAATTTTCACAGTTTACTTTCTGAACAAACCAACCCAATGTGCTACAAAAAGCAAGTAAGATTTTCAGTGCCATTAGGAAGGACATTTGGAATGAATAGTCATATTAACCTCATACAAGTAACCTAAAATGTGGTAAAGGAACTCTAAGAGAAATATTAATAGATCTGGAAACGGCCCAGTTAAGAACAATTAAAATAATCAAAAGGGAGAAGTATCTGACATTTTCAGAAAGAGTAAAGAGATACAGAATTTCCTCAGCTTGGAAAAATAGTTGTGAGAGTCAGTAACTGTGAGACTATTATAACACTTTATATGTCTCAATGCTGAAGACAGCCTTATCAGATAAACATCACAATCGTGTTCATTTTACAGACAAGCAAACTGAGGCACAGTGAAGTTCAGTAACTTCTCCAAAATCCCAGCAGTAGAAAATGAAATGTCGGAATTCAAACCCAATGTCACTCTAGGGCCTATGTTTTTAACCACTGTAGCATAAATTACCTAGTAAACAAATAAATCTTTAAGATAAGAATCATGTAACCACAGTCTCGTTTACTGAGATTCAAAATGCAATTTCTAATGCATCACTTAATGCTTTAAGGAAAATACAACTTTTTGCTTGAATTCCTTACAATGAGTGTACATCACTTTTGTAAGAAAAAAAGTAAAGAGGATGCCATTTTGATATTGAAAATACTAGTTTACTCAGCAGGTACTAAATTTCCAAAATTTGTTACCTAGAGAGGTTGTACTAAATACAAAAAACTTGAAGAAAATTTAGTATGTGCAATAGATATATATTTCTTATAGATACCTATAATAGTCAGGAACATATTTCCTAAGGAAAGTGTTTTTTTTTTTTTTTTTAAATCTAGGTAGGAAAAGACAACGTGTAGTAGACAGGGAGAATCTGCATGGGAAGTGGAGACATGGATGAGTAGCATATGAAGACATCTGTGTAGTTGGGTGGCACAGAACAGTTAATGAACTTGAAGACAATTCTGTGATAGCAGTGCTTTCTCTATTCAAGGGACTATCCTGGGAAACATGAAGTCTTTGCAAATAACATCCCAGGAGGAAATTCTTTAGACATTATTCTTACCTTCTGTAACATTTACATAATTTGTACACAGGACATACGAAGAACAGCTGTTTCATTTAGGAAAAATTAAGGCACTTCCAGGGTCATTTGGGAATTTGAATATTCTTTCCCATGAGGTTTGCCTTTTGTTCTAAAATCTCATGAAAACAGTGCTGCCATTAGCTGTACCTTGCACCTTGGAGATTAACTCTAATCTAGAGAACCCTGTCTGAAGGGATTCAAGGTATTTCTCCAAAGGATACAGTCCTTGGTAACTGTGACTATGAATACTCTGGCTTCCCTTCAGGGTGCAGTCTACACATAAGACAATTAAAATCCCACTCCAAACACACGATTTAACCATTTATTATTGGAAAATGTGAAACTAGGCTAGCTTATTTTGTACTCAGTATATGAGTAACAGGTTGAAGAGAGTGAGGAATGCATTTTAAGGGGAAACAAAAAAAATCTCAATGTCTGAGGAGGTCAATTCCCTGAAGAACAGGATAATGCAATGATAGCTTATACAAATAGCAGATTCTGTACTGGCCTCTTTTTTTCCCCCATAACTTCATCTTTTGAAAAGAAAGGAAACAAATCTCAGATCCCTTCAGAACATTCCTGATCACTTTCTGTGTCAGATACACTGGTATTAGAAGAGTTAAAACAGTAGTGCACTTGAAAAGCCTAATTTCAATTTGACCATTGTCTGAGTTAAAACAAAGTTCTAGGAGTTTTTTTTTTTTTAACTATCTTTTCCATCTTGCCACCTCCCAGGGGTAGAGAAGCAAGTACTTTCTTGCCAAGTACCCAGATTACCTCCTGATTATTCCTGATGGTGAGACTTATAAATACATTATACTGCATTTGATATTGATCAAATACTGTGAAAAATTTTGGCAAAGAGGTGAAGAAGCTGGAGAAAAATAATGACTGTGACTAAAGGTTTGGAAAACGAGATCCAGCACCAAAAATATATAGGCAAAGTTGAGGAAATATGAAGAATCCTGGACATCTTTTATTTTCTAGTTTCTTTTTTCAGCTTTTTATAATCAAAAAGTTATCAAAATTTAAGAGTGCCTGCAAGTCCACAAGGGTGTGACCTCAATTCAAAATAGAAGGACTCTCTGTAAAGAGTCTTTAAAACAGAAATACATCCATCATACTTTCCCATATCCTTCATTCAACAAACACTTATTGAAAGCCTACGATGTGACAGTCAGTGTTCTAGACACAGGGAAATCTCTGTCCTCTTGGAGCTTACGTTTCTGTGCTGGAGGAGAGAAAGCAAACGATAATAACCAACACAATAAACAGGTAAGTTGTACAGTATGCTAGAAGGTGATATGAAAAATACAGAAGGCTAAGAGGATGAAGAATGGGAATTTAAAATTTAAATTTAAAAAGGGTGGTCAAGATAGGCCTCTAAGCTAGCGAGGATGAGCAAATTGATGCAGCTAAAAGGTAGAATTCTGTTAAGGTTAGGGGAACAAATGGTGATTACATTTTGCATTTACGTTGTAATATATAGTTTCCAAAACTGTGCCACTCAGCCAGTGGATACTGGAGGAACTGATGCAGAGTTTGGAAAAAAGGATGAATTCTGGATGGGCCACTCACATGGAAACAAACGTCCAGCTGGTAGTCAACAGTGGGAATCTGGGGTTATGATGAGTTATTTGAAACAGAAACGTTGATTTGGAATCAGGATCATATCTACGCAGGTGAGAGCATCAGGGGAGAGCAGAGTAAAAACAGGCCCATTTTAGGGACTGCATACAAAGAAAAATGGAAGAACAGTACATTTTGTCCTTGGGTTTAGAGAGAGAGCGCGAGAGAGCGAGCACGCTCGCTAGGATTGCATCCTTTCATTTCCCCTCTTTCATTTCTTCCCTAAAGTTAGCTGTCCTCATCACAAGACACTTGGCGCCAAGCTACACTTCTTTTGTGGCAATCTTTCGTCAAGCCCTTTGGAAGGTAAGAAGGGAACTAACATTTACTGAGCATCCCCCGCAGGCCAATTGTTTAGGGCTCCAGAGCCCAGATTGCTGCCCTTGACACTCCAGCTGCTTCCTCGGTTTAACACCTTTGCCTCCTTCAGCAGTGCTTGGCCTAGAAGGCGGAAGCGCAGGAAAGGTCTCCAGAAAACAAAGGACACAACTTGAAGGAAAACCAAAAAAAATTAAAAACTACCGTCGGGAGCCTGAGCCTAGCCCTTAACCGACTTTCACCAGCGCCTACCGGCACCTACAACTCCCGCCCCTCAGCCCCACCCGGAACCTCCACAGCCCCCGCCCCTTCTCCCGCGGCTCGCGCTCATTTGCCGGCGCCTTTCACTTCGCGTCCTCATTGATCCTGCTTTCCCCTCTTCTTCTACGCTCTTCGCTCAGCCCCGCCCCTGTCCTACAAGTCACAAAGCGCAGGCTCGTTGCTCTCCTGGACCTTTTTCCGTGTCCCTTACCCCTTCTTCCCGGCATTCCTGTTTCCGCTTTCACACTACTATCGGTTTTTCACCACCACCAAGGCACTTCGCGCTCCGGGCTTCAGTGACGTCATCTCTCAGCGCCGCACTGACACCCGCCGGTGGAAAAGGGAACAGCTCCGCCGCCCTTCGCCTCTTTGTTGGGCTACTGCTCCTTCAGTTATCATGGCGCCATCGCTGTGGAAGGGGCTGGTAGGCATCGGCCTTTTTGCTCTAGCCCACGCCGCCTTTTCCGCTGCTCAGCGTAAGTGCATGGGGGACAGAGACTGCTCCCATGTGGGACCCTGGGGGCGGTGTGTAGGTGCATCCCTGCGGGACTGTCAGACCGAGTGTCCAAAGAACGGTCATTGGAGACGTTACAGTTTGGGGTGACTAAGACGAGCAGTGCCGGGGTCCAGGGTGGAAGCTTTGGAGTTTGAGTTCGAGGCGAATAAGGCATCAGATATTGCGGGAAGGTTAGAAGGGAATGTCTAGGAGAGGATTCAGAGCGGGAGTCTATTCCAGAATCCAGGACAAGTGATGTCAAATCCAGCACGGGGCAGGTCAGGCAATGTGGAATAGAGGAGTCCAGATGCTCTCGGTCTCGTGACAGCCAGGTGGACAACATTTTGGGTACTCCTGGGCTGTCCAGATACAGACGGAGAAGTAAAGTGACCCGTGCATGGCCTTAGGGAGACCCGGGGGAAAGACCATTAGACTGGAAGTCTGAAGGACTAGTTAAAAATTTGCTTTACTGCTATAAGTGTATGTGACCTTGTGCAAAGGATATGTGCTTCACTGCGTTGTAAAATTCAGTCTTTGGTCATTGGTTGAAACTGCATTGTGCTTAGGTGCTAGGGGTACAGTGATGCCCGGAGGAGTTCAAAATCTAGTGGAAAAGCAAGTGGATTGAGAAATGATCACAACAAAGTGATATATATGCTGTGCTTAAAGCATATAAGAACGCGTGGAGCTGGGGAATTAAGTATCTTCGAGCCTTGCTGCACAAAGTGTGCTCAATTGACCAGCACCAAGAGCTCGTTAGAGACACCCAGGCTCCACCCCAGATCTGTTGAAACAGAATCTGCGTTTTAATAAGATCCCAGATGATTTGTATGCACATTGGTTTGAGAAGTACTGTCCTGGAGGAGATTAGGCTACACTGGTGTACTGTCATTTTCTACAACAAGCTTCAGCTGTAAAATTGTATAACCATAGCACAAGGAGGGCCCTGGGAGATTACTGAAGTCTAATCCCTTCGTTTTACAGATGAGGAAATGCCTGGCTAAGGTAGTGTTAGACTCAGATTACGCTTCATGCAAACAGAAAAGCTAGCTGGGAATTGAGCAGACTGTAGGAGGTTAGTCAAAATCTATTTTTGGTATTGGTTTGATTTTTCTTGTACACCTGTCCTTATGATAAACCTAGTAAATTGAAACTTAAGAAATGTCTCTAAGTATATTGCTTTTTTTAAAAAAGAGTCAATACATGCTTACTCAAAGCAATTTGAATATTTTAGTTCAAAGTACATTATTAAATAGGGATTATTCTAGGTTCATCTAGAATCAAGATTCTGTATTTTGTGTTTCAGTTTATGAGAATGCCTTGTGGATTTTTCACTGCAGTGAGACCTTACAATGCTCATGTTGGGAAGATGCTAATATTTACCTTTGAGATTGTGTCATGTTAGATTGTAGCAGGAGATAGTACACTATGGTGTTGCATCATGCTCATCTTTACCATAATGAACTCTATTATAGCAACACACTGATCATATACTACATTTCTTTTAATCTCCATGTTATTTCCATTTTGCTGTTAGGGAAACTTGGGCAATGAAAAGATAATGCGATCCTTTGATACTAAGAAACGTTCCCGCTCCCACATTTTAAGGCTCTGAAATTGAAACATGTGTTACAATCATTGAGTGTGTCTTAAATTGAATGAGATACAGTTAATTGAAGAGCTATTACTCTACTCCAGGTTTATCAACTTCCACATCTGATTCTTTTGTCCCTTGCTGCCTTCTGAGGTGAAAGCAGCTGCACAATTATAATTAAATAGCAGTAAAAGCAGAAACTGATGTCCTGAAATTCCTCTTCCACTGCCCCAGTGTGCTCTCTTAGGAGAAACGTTTCCATAGTAGTGTTACTTTGTCCATACTATGTGATGTTGGTGCTGTTTCAGAGTTGAGATTTTCTATAGATTTACTATTTTTTTATTATTGTAATTTCTTTGACTAGTTTATGCAATAAGTAGTTTCAGAGGCTTCTACTTTTTGTGGTAATGGAAAGAAAAATTATGCTTAGGTATTTCTGCCTGATACTTGCTCACCTATAATTTTTTACCCTGTTTTATAAGGTGACAAAGCAGGTCATGATGAGAATAAAATAGTTCAAGATAAGGCTGACTACCCTAGAAGATAGAAGTTTTTGAAGAATTAGGATTAGCATTACTTTATATAGCATATAAGTCCACCGCTTATTTGGTATATTGATTTGATTGTATTTTAAAAAAGAAATATGATTTATACTTTCCTTAATGGTATGCTTCTGGTTTATAGATCGTTCTTATATGCGATTAACAGAAAAGGAAGATGAATCACTGCCAATAGATGTAAGTTGGTCATTTATATTCTGTTAAAATATATTTTAAAAAGTTAACCACTAGTCAAACAATACCCTATACCTTGAGTGGTTGTGTGAGTGCAGCCTGTTGAAATCCTTGCTTAGTGTATACTAAGTTGATCTTCTGTATATGAAGGTAATTGAAAATGAAACTCGATGAAGGGTGGGATGGGAGAGGGAGTGGGAGAGGGGAGGGCCGCAGGAGGGAGGGAGGTTGGGGGGGGGAGCCACAACAATACAAAAGTTGCACTTTGTAAATTCACATTTATTAAATAATAAAAAGAATAAAAAAAGTTAACCACATAGGTTATAGTTTTTTACTGATTTTTATTCTCTTAACAATTTCCAGACATGAAATAACATCTGTTCTCTACTCTTTATAAAATGCAAAGATTTTGTATCTAAAATTATAGATGAAATAGTCTTTCTAGAAGTTTCTCTGTTCATGGTATGAGATGGATTTTTTTTTAAAGATTTATTTATTTATTTGAAAGACAGAGCATGAGAGTGAGTGAGTGAGTGAGTGAGAGAGATCTTCCATCTGCTGGTTCATTCCCCAAGTGGCTGCAACAGCCAGGTAGGAGAAGCCAGGAACTCCATCTGGGTCTCCCATGTGGGTGGCAGGGACCCAGGTACTTGGGCCATCTTTCACTGCCTTCCCAGGAAGAGAGCTGTGTTGGGAGCAGAGCAGCCAAGACTGCAACCCAATGCTTGGATATGGGATGCTGGTATTCCAAGCAATGGCTTAAGTCACTGTGCCCCCAATGCTGGGCCCTTGGCTTTACTTTTTAGAAAAGTTCCTATTTATATAAAGTTTTAAAGCAAGTAAAACAGTATGTTGTTTAGGGATATATATAGGTGGTCAAACTGAAAAATAAGTATTTGTAAGCTCAAATGACATATTCATGCCTCACTCACAATTTTTCTGTTTACTGTGTTTGAAATTATAAGAGTAGTAAGTTCTTTGTAACAGAATCAATACCTGTAAAACTGAAAACCGACCCCACACAATTGAAACAACAACAAACAGACCTCATTCCTCAGCAATTCTCTGAACAGTTTGGAGTATGTCAGTAGTTCAGACTTCTTCCTATGCATAAACAATAGTGTCTTTATTTGTGTATGTGTAGTTTTGCCAAATCAAAAACAAAGTCTTTTTCTTTAAAAGAAAAATGGTTACATGTGCATATATATATAGTTTTACAATTTGCCTTTTTTATCAACAATTTATCTGAAACATTTTCATGATAACTCAGGTTGACAATATTCTTGTTAACAGTGCCATTGTTTGCATTGTGTAGAGTAAGTGTTCTTGGTACAGTGGTGGTGGGAATGTAAACTGACATTACATGACATCAGATTTTAACTCAGAATAATACCTTGTGGCTAATTTTGACTGTAGTCATCTGTAATTAAGGATATTTTAGATGTGGCTATTAAGTTATTCTCTTATCACTTTTGCTTTTTGGTGGATACACTTGCACACACACACACACACACACAGAGGTTAATTTGTGAATATTTAAAATAACTTTGTTCTGTTTACAAATTGGAAAGTTTGAAATAAAGAAAATATACCAGAAAATATACTGTGCAGCGGATTAAGCCACAGCTTGTAACAACTGCATCCAATATTGGTGAGCCAGTTTGAGCCCTGGCTGCCAACATGTCCAGTCCAACTTCCTGGTAATGTGCCTGGGAAGGCAGCAGGTGATAGCCCCCTGCACCACACATGTGGGTGACCGGGATGGAGTTCCTGGCTCCTCGCTTCAGCTTGGCCCAGCCCTGGCTGTTGCAGCCATTTGGGAAGTGAACCAGCAGATGAAAATCTCTGTCTATCTCTCTATCTCTCTGTCTCTCTGCCTTTCAAATTAATAAATAAAGAAAATATGCCTATAATCCCATGTTGGTTAGTTTCTAATTGAAGGTTTTTGCTTGGACAACCTCTTTGAAAGCAAGTTGATATTATGTGAGAGTACTTTAAACAGTGTTTCCACTTCTGTGTTCCAGGAGATATATACAAGATTATTCATATTGCTTTGTAAAAGTTACAAACAAGAAACAATCTAGCAACATGTAATGGGCAAATTGTGCTATCTTCATATAATGAAATACAAAACACAGTGAAAGTAGACTACAGCTACATTAGTATAGCAGGGATAAATTTCACTATCAATGTTGAGCGAGAAGGACTAGACCAAAAAGAGTACATTTTTAAAAATTCAGAATGGGCAAAAGTAAGCAATATATGTTTTAGAAATATGTACATGGCTGGTAAAATTATCAAGAAGAGCAAGGAGGGGCTGGTGTTGTGGTACAGCACGTTAAGTCATCACCTGGAATACCAGCATCATGTTTGAGCCCTTGTTTTAGTCCTGGCTACTCCACTTCTAATCCAGTTCCCTACTAATGCATCTGGGAACGAAGTGGAAGATGTCTCAAGTGCTTGGGTTGCTGCCACCCATGTAGACCAGGATGGAGTTCCTGGCTTTGGTCTGGCCCAGCCCTGGCCATTACTGCTATTTGGGGGAGTGAACCAGCAGATAGAAGCCCTCTCTTCCCCTTTGTCTCATTCTGCCTTTCAAATAAAGAAGTAAAGTTGTTTTTTTTTTTAAGAAAAGCAAGGAATTGGTTAAAACACAGCTAGTTACAATAGTTAATGTTGAGAGAGAGTCTGGGATGTAATTGGACAGGGATATGTGAGACTTGAAAGATAATGGTGATGTTCTGTTTCTTAATCTGTGTGGTGGGTGCATATTATTGCTTTTCTTTGCACTGTACACATAGGCTTTATATGATCTGTGTGATGTTGAAGAATAATACAGTAAAAAATTCTTAGCTGCTCTTGAAAGTAGGTAATATTTGATAATTGAGTTCTGAGTGGCTCACTAGCATGGCAGTACTCAGTGATTTTGCTTCTTTGGGCATGTCACTAAGTTAATTTATCAAGGCGTCAGATGTATTTTTCCCACTGAGCCACAGAATTTGTAGAAGATTTTATCCTGAGTCAAAATCATTTCAAGTGAGAATTGACTCCTTAATGAGTGATATTGAGAGAACTACCTGTTAGAGGCTGAGAGAAGATTGCAGATGCTTCTAATAATATTTGTGTGCTCTTGTAGTAATTTCAATCTTTATACTCACAGATAGTGCTTCAGACACTTCTGGCCTTTGCAGTTACCTGTTATGGTATAGTTCATATTGCAGGGGAGTTTAAAGACATGGATGCTACTTCAGAACTAAAGAATAAGTAAGTCTTTTCATTTTCATAGGCTTGAAGTTCATTTTCATTGCATAAGGGTTTGCTTTACTTGTAAGCTAAAATTTATGTTTTCTGGTACGTGAAAGTTAATTTTGTTTTTACATTTTGATTATGCAATTTGTGTGAGTAATGAGGTAAATATATTGAGGCAGTATTTGAAATGATAGGGCAAATGGAAGCTGAATGGCAGATTTTTGGCATTAGAATAAGATACAAAGTTGTTTTACTGGTTGCTTAATATTATCAGTGATTGGCTGGTTGGCAATAGATAGATGGAACAGTAATCCCACAGAAATTTTAACCAAGCTTCCTCCTTCTACCCTTCCCCCTTATTCCCTTCCTTCTTTCCCCTTTCATTCCCTCTTTCCTTTTTCCCTCCTACTCTTCCTCTACTCTTTTCTTCCTCTTTTCATCCTCTGGTCCTACATTAGTCTTTGGAAGAGTAAGGGGATTTCTGTTTCCTCTCACTTGAGTTTATGTTAACATAAACTCTGCTCTCAGGCCCTTTTCTATCCCTGGATTAAAGAATGTTTGTTATTCTACTTGCTTTTCTCTTCTGTACTTCTTCTAAGCTATTTTCTAAGCTATTGTTTCTTTGCTTGCTTTCCTTTTCCATATTTTTACTTTCCTAACATCCTCTGGTTTTGTTGAATTCCATCTTTGGACTTTACTCACCTTCTTGATCTGGAAATGATAAACCCTTTATAATATTTTTTGGAAGGCTTCACAGTAAATAATTATATGTTAGAGGAAATGAAATCATCTTCCCATTTACATTTACTGTTATTTACATTTTAAATACTTACATATTAGGCCTCCTGTTTTGTAAAGGATGATACTTGCATATTTAGGTGGGGTAACTTTGAGATTTGAGTTTTTAATCAAAGGAAGGATTCTCTTGTTCTTTCCAGGAAAATAATATTAAAAACAAACACAATAAAGGCCATACACTGAGGTGTTTGTGAACTCATTTAGACCATATATATCTCACTGGGGAAAAAAAAAAGGAAACTCCACTCCCACCACTACACTTAGAAAAAGTCTATGAAGAATCACAGGCAAGGAGCCAGGAAAGAAAGAAGTGAAACAGAATGGCGTTAAGTAGGTGGTAGCAAAAATATATGAGCTTGGACAATAGCAGGTACAGAGGGCCAAAAGATTCTTGGAAAACAAATCTGTGAAGTAATCATGGCTTGAATTGTGAGCACCAAATGAGAATAATCAAGGAGTAATTTATGTACTGGTTTTGTAAAAGACCATTTAGCACGGGTTACTGTTAGATTTACAGGGGTGATTAAAGTTGAGCTAGTACTTACATTGTTCTTCTTAGCGGAATGGCTGAGTAAAAAAAATTGAGGGCTTGGGAGCAAGCATTTAGCTTAGCAGTTAAGATGCCTGCATCTTATATTGGAGTTTCTGGGTTTGATTCCTGTCTCTGGCTCCTGCCTCCAGCTTCCTGCCAAGGCAGACCCTAGGAGGCAATGGTGATGACTCAGGTAATTGGGTTTCTGCCACCTGTGTGGCAGCCCTAGTTTGCAGTCCTGGCTTCTGGCTCTGGTCCAACTTCAGCCATTGCAGGCATCTGGGGAACAAACCAGCAGATGGGAACTCTCTGTCTCTTCGTGTCTCTGCCTCTCAAATAAAAGAAAAAATAAGTAAGGTAACAGTTTAATGCTGCCATTCCAGGTTTGTTATTCTCTTTGAGCAGGAAAAGTGAGATACAGTATGGTTATCATTTATAGACTGATTTCATGAGCTTATAGTTAGTTAAAAATGTAAGCAATAGGAAATGCATAATTCACTAGAATCCTGCTATTTTCAGATAGGCTTTTGTGAAGATTATCTTAAATTGATGCCTTCTTTTTCTTTTAAGGACATTTGATACATTAAGGAATCACCCATCCTTTTATGTCTTTAACCACCGTGGTCGAGTACTGTTCCGGCCTTCAGATACAACAAATTCTTCAAATCAAGACGCATTGTCCTCTAACACATCGTTGAAGTTACGAAAACTTGAGTCGCTGCGCCGTTAATATTTTTACAAATTATAATAGGACAGGACACAGAGCTCAATATTGGAGTTTGGGGCATAAAACACTCCCCGCATTAGTATTTATATTGATCTCTCAGACCAATTTAAAAAAAAAATCTATGGCCCTTGTTTGTACACTGTTAGTCAAGTCCTTAATGCAGTATTGGTTATCTATGAAATGAGTCTTTGATTGAATTTCATATAAGGAATTTTTTTCATTTAAGACAAATTAACATATTTTGTAAAGTCACTGTTTTGAACACATTGAAAAATGTTGATGGTTTCTGTGATTATTTATTTTCTTAAATTTCTTTTCTTTTGCACTACAGTTTTTAGGATCCTTTTGGAAATACTGTGTGACTACTGCATTTTGCAGCATGAATTATAGTAAAATGGTCTTCAGTTCTTAATAAATGAACTTCCCTAATGAGACCAAAATGGTGACTTTTCCACTCTTCTTTTATCCCCTAAAAAGTGGCTCTGCTTCAGCAGATATTTGCCAGTTTTTAATTTATCCATGACTTCTTACTCCATCCCACTCCCGTATACTTTCTAGCATTGACTTGTCTTGTTTAATTACTTCTCTGAGATTCTGTGTAGTGAGAAATTTTTGTGTTAGAAATTCCTTGTCATAGCAGAAGTATTTAACAGGTTCAACTTGTTGTAAAACTGTTTTTGTTCTCTTCATTTATGTGTAGAAATGTGCTCGAAGTGATTATGTAGTATAGGAATAGTTGAAGATAGACCAAAAATGACCATTTGTGATTTCATTATCCTGCCTATATAAAGGAATGATAATTGTTGAGGAAAATGGATTACTTGTCATTAGTTTAACTTATTCAGAGTCTCTGTTAGTTTATTCCATGCTAAACTAGTGAACTAAATGAAAATAAAGGAAACTTCCCATTAATCTAAAGGCAGACTTAAAGGAATTGGGCCAAATATGTTCTAAATATTTGGAATGAATATATTTTTTTAGAAACTTCAAGGCCACTTAAGAAATTGTCTTGTAGTTTTGATTTATAGAAGGTTTAGAGTTTTCTATCTTCACTCTGTTGGTGAAGTTTGAGGATGAGGATACAGAATTGAATTGTTTTAGAAACAGTGATTTTACTCTAGGAGAAATTTGGCTAGCTCTTTGATCTAGAAAGCTGCAGGAATCTCACCATTTTGGTATAAAGAATAATGCATTTTTTAATTGTACAGGTGTAAACACATTGCTTTTGTTGAATTGTATGGGTGTAAAGGGAATAACTGTATGCAGGTTTGAAAAGGAAATATGCTTTAGGCAAGAGTCATAAGATGCCCTTATTCTTGATGGCGTTTTTCCATTAGAAACGAACCTCATTTCTTTTATTCTGCCTGGTAACGCACAGCCCCATGGCATGAGATGAATTTGTCATTGGATTTTTATTAGTGTTGTTTTGTTCTGTTTTGTTTTGCCAATCCAGTCTGTCTGTGGAATACTGACTCTGCTCTCTAATGAGAACAAAGTTAGAATCTGCCGATAGCCTAAAATAATTTAGGAATATGTTAAAAGTGTGGAGTCGGGAGTTAAAGTGATGATAATTAAATCAAAATAGTGTGTGAAAAGCAAGCTCCTTATATCAGTCTTGTCTACCTTTCCTCAGGTATAACTTGATTTAGGAGAGTTTCTTGTTTTCTTCTCTTTTGGGGCTGAATTCCTTTCCTAATATGTTTCTGTAACATTGTTGAGATGTAGTTTGCCTGCCTTATAGTTGACCCATTCAGAGGGTACAATTCTGTGACTTTTAGTGAATTCACAAAATTGTGAAATATCGACCACAATCACTTTTAGAACATTTTGCAGTCCCAAAAAGAATCTCCCTGCACTTTAAAAGTTGCCTCATTTTCTCCCAATGCCACCCCCCAACCCCTGTCAACCCTAGGGAACTACTAATCTACTTTCTATCTGTATAGATATACCTTCTCTGGACATTTAATATAAATGGATTCATAGAGTATCTGGTCTTCCATGAGTGACTTCTCCCAAAGGATTGTTATATGGAGTGAGAAGTTGTTCTTATCTTGTGATTAATTATTGCTGTGAAAGGACATGATTCGCCAATTGAATATATTTAAGGAGAGAAGATCAGATACTTAACAGGTTTCTCAGTTGATCAGATGTAATAGATTTTTTTAGGCATTCATAATGTATTACTTATTATATTTTGGCTAGTTTCTAGAATGGATATTGAACTCTTTGCCTGCCCAGTTAGGAAAGACCTGCTAAAAATGATGCCAAATAATTTGGCAAATAATTGACATAGTAATTTTCAGTGTGTACATCTTTGCTAGCAGCTTGTATACCTCGGGCTAGCTGAGCTCCCCAAATTTCTTTTTTAATTGACTCCAGTCAATTTCTGCTGACTTTTCCAAGTATGTACCATAGGACTAAAGGTGATTTGGGTACATTGTAACCCTGCTAAATGTATTAAGTATGGAACTTGATTTACAGTACTATGAGACAGTCTGTTACTGCCTAAGGTAGTTTAAAAATATGTGAGCTAGCTCAGTTTGCAGTTGACTGTGATTTCAGTGACATTCAGAAGTGTGTATCAATCAAAGTTCTCAAGAATACTGGAAGACTCACTTCTTAATAACCAGGGAACCAGCCAAATGGCCCAGTGGCAAAAAGTGCAGACTTCTGCGTTGGAAACTCTTGTGCTCTCTAACTTCCTACTGATGGTTTCCTAAGCACTGTGGCTTAGCTTTGAGTGGCACAACAGCATCTTCCTGGTTGTATGTGGCCTGTTTCCATGATGTATTGAGTGTTTGTTGTGAGCATCAGTGCCTGTAACACCAAGCTAAACACATTTTTTGGATATGTTCTCTCTCTTTAAATGACCTTACCCTGTCCAATAAATAAATGATTGTCTCACCCTGTTTTTGGTAGTGGTTTTTTTTTGTTTCATTTTGTTTTGCGTTTTTGATTTTTAATCTCATTTCTTCTGCTTCTCTGTCCCCAGAAAAATGTAAGAGCTAATTTTATGACTATATTTTCCAGTGTGATTTTGTTTTACTAAATTCAATAGATACTTTCTATTTAATTGTACATGTAAATTCTATTGCAGTTTTAAGCTTTAATAGAATGTATAATCTCATATTTATGAATCAGTAAGTGCTCTTTGAAGTATAGGAATTAGTCCTTGAGCAGAGTGTCTATAATCATTCCATCACAAATTTCTTATAAGCAAACAGCCCATACAAAATGTCACTTTGTACCTAACAGGAAATCGTGTTTAAAGCGTAAGAGAATGAGAAAATGCAAGGGGAAAAAGTTCTACTTTGTAAAACTTGGCATTTACCTAAAGTATTTTGAAAACACCACCAATATTCAAGCCTACATAGGACTACCTCAAAATAAACTGCTAAACAAATGTTATTTTAAAAGGAGAAAAAAAGGCACACATGACAAAAGGATCAGACAGTACAGAAAGGCATAAATCTTTTGTTCTCTTCCTTCCTACCCTACTATTTCACCCGAAGGTAGCCAGCATCAACAGTCTTGTTGTTCTTATAGGAATAAAACCTTTTATTTGCCTGTGAACATATATTTTAAAAATTTTGTATTAAGGAATCAGACTATATAATATTCTGTACCTTGCTTGCTTATGCTGTGTTTTATGAAATCTTTATCCATACAGAAATAATGATTTTTAATAACTATGGTGTCCCAGTATACAATAATGAGCTTTTAGGTTTCCAATATTTTATTAAATTATATTGCAGTGAACATACTTGTACATATAATGAGATTGTATCAGTAGAGTTAATTTATAGCAATAGAATTGCTAGATCAAAGAGTAGTTTTCATTTTCAGTGCAGTGGTCTACTGCCAAATTGTCCTCTGGAAACCTTGGCCCAGTGTGCTTCTACATACAGTGTGAGAATGATTGTTTATGATACCGGTGCTGATAGTGGGTACTACTTTTATGTTTGATCATGTGAAAGTAAATGAATGATATCTTGCATCTTAATGAGGAGATGGAACACATTTTCATGTTTATTGATTACTGATATTTTCTGTGAACTGTATGATTATGTTCTGTTTCCTATTAGATGATTTGTTTATTGATTTGTATGAGCTTTTTGTAAGCTAAGGAAATTGATCCATTGTCACATGTTTAATAACATTTTCCTGTATATTATTGATTTATGTAGTTACACTTATCAGTCTTTATGCCTTCTTTCCTTAGAAAGGACTTTACATTTATGAATAAATGTATTTTTCCAGTACTTTTAAGTTTTTTTTTTTAACATTGAAATCTATGATTACTTTGGAATTTATTTAGGTAGTAGCAATGAACTAAGGATTAAATATTTTTCTCTTCCAAATAACTGGGTATCCCAACTCCATTTATTGACTTGTTTCCATACTGTTTGGAAAAACCATCTCTCTCTCACACACATACACACACATTTCTTGGCTCTGCAGTCCATTGCAAAAAAAAAAATACCACTCTTTTCATTATTTCCAGTTATATATTTTCATATATGGCATTGCTAGTCCATAAATTATTCTTTACTGGGATTTTTTTTCTAGTTGTTCTTGTGTGTTTGTTTTCCAGATACTTTAGTATCATTTTGTCCAAACCTGGAATCATATTGATATTTTTCCTAAAATTTTATTTTGAAAAATTGCAAACCTATAGAAGATGTGAAAGAATAATAATGGTGAACAACCTTCACTTAGACTCACCCTTCCTAACATCTTTCCCTGTTTCTTTTGCTCTCTTCAAATGGCTTTTTCCCCTCCTGAATTATTTGAGGTAAGTTGCAGGCTGTTCCTCCAAGATTCACAAATTACATTAGTGTATCTCTCCAATCTTCAACAATCTCTCTACCTCTTTATTAAAATGGCATCTTATGTTTTAAATTGTTATTTTCATTTTATTCAAGAGACAGAGATCTTCGATCTGCTGGTTCATTCCCAAAATGCTTGCAACAGATAGGGCTTAGTCATGCTAAAACCAGGAGCCTGGAACTCAACCCCAGTCTCCCATGTGGTGGCAGGGACCCAAGTACTTGAGCCATCGCCTGCTGCCTCCCATGGTGCACATTAGCAAAAAACTGGAATTGGAAGTGGAGCTGGGACTTGACCTCCCCCTCCCACCCCAAAACTCAGATATGGGATGTAGGTGTTCCAAGCAGAGTCAACCACTGTGCCAAACCCCTGCTCCTGAAGTGGTATTTTCTAAAATAATTTTATTTTTCAAAGCTATTTTATATTTATAGAAAAATAGGAAGATAGTTAAGCGTTCCTATATACCCCCAAATTTCCCTTATTGTGAACAGGGTGGTGTGATGCATTTGATACAATGAACCAATGTTAATACATTTTTATTAACCAAAGCCCATGCTTTATTCAGATTTCCTTAGGTTTTACCTGATGTCGTTGTGCCCTAGGATCCCATTGAAGGTACCACATTGCATTTAGTCATCAGGTCTTGGCTTTTCTTGGCTGGAACAGTTTCTTAGACTTTCCTTTTATTTGTGAGCTTGACAGTTTGGAGGGGTACTGGTTAGGTGTTTTGTAGAATAGTCCTTTACTGGACTCCTCAGATGTTTTCCCAGGTAGGAGACTGAGGTTGTGTGTGTTTTGGGGGAGGGAGGCCAGCAAGGTAAAGTGCCTTTCTCATCACAACATATGAAGGGCACATATTTATTGTCACTATGGATATTGATCACCTGGTTGAGGTAGAGTTTGTCAGGTTTCTCCTCTATACTGTGCTTTGTGGAAGGAAGTCATATACAGCCCACACGTAGCAAGTAAGGAGTTTTGCTCCACCTCTTTGAGGATAGAGCATCTACATAACTTATTTGGAATTCCACTGCATAAAACATATTTTGTTTCCCACTTATTAATCTATTAATTTAGTTATATAGGTTGGGACTCATGGTATTTATTTTATGCTTTGAATTACCATGTGATACTACTTTATTTTGTTGTTAAAATTTTTCCAGTTTTGGTCATTGGTAGAACTTTTAGTGGACTCCCGTGCCCCTTTTACATACTCCTATCATGTAAGTGTAAATGTATCTATTTATTGAGTGAAATGTAAATTCATGGTAATGTTTAATCCAGTACCACATAGATCATTCTATTCCCTTCCCCTCGCTTATCTCTAAACTGCCACTCCAACTGAGAAACCTGACTCCCACCATCTGTTACCCACTTACTTGATTTGTTTAACTCCAGTATCCATGTAAAGTGGTTTCAGAATTGCTAACCTGTTCTCTCATGGGAACAACATTATCAACTAGGCCGCAGTGATTATGTAAGTTTTTCTGTTTGTTCATTTGCCATTAGTTTTACAGACTTCCCCTCATTTCCAAAGTGAACTTAGGTCAGCACTCCCCCACTCCATTGTCACTATGTTTGTGCCATCCATCTGTAATACAGATTGTTTAGTCACATTCTGCATTCCATTTCGATAGCTCTCTGACTTCCTAAATGATTCTTAAAGAATTTGTAGAAAGTTCACTTTTTCTGCTCTGAAGTGAGTTTTGACAAATCCATAATATTATGTATCAACAATTGCATTACCCATATAGAATAGTTTCATAGCCCTAAAAATCTTTAGTGTTTTGTCTTTTCATCCCTCCATCTCCTTCCCCTGAGCCCCTGATAACCTCTGATCCTTTTATTGTCTGTAGTTTTGCCTTTCACAGAATGTCATATAGTTGGACTCAGACCATATATAGCCTTTAGAGACTGGCTTCTTTCACATAGTAACATGTATTCAGGGTTCCTCCATGTGTCTATATGTGGCTTGATAACTCATTTCTTTTTACTTCTGAATAATAATATTTCATATGGATGTTCTCAAAGTTTGTTTATACATTCAACTATCAAAGAACATCTTGGTTGCTTTCAGTTTTGCTGGTTATGAAGCTGCTACAAGCATTTACATGCAGAATTTTGTGCAGGCATAATTTTTTAATTAGTTGGGTAATTGCTAGATCATATGGTAAGATTATGTTCAACTTTATAAGACATTGCCAACTGTCTTTGAAAGGTGGTTGTACCGGCCGGCGCCGCGGCTCACTAGGCTAACCCTCCACCTTGCGGCGCCGGCACACTGGGTTCTAGTCCCGGTCGGGGTGCCGGATTCTGTCCCGGTTGCCCCTCTTCCAGGCCAGCTCTCTGCTGTGGCCAGGGAGTGCAGTGGAGGGTGGCCCAAGTGTTTGGGCCCTGCACCCCATGGGAGACCAGGATAAGTACCTGGTTCCTGCCATCAGATCAGCGCGGTGCGGCGGCCATTGGAGAGTAAACCAACGGCAAAGGAAGACCTTTCTCTTTCTCTCTGTCTCTCTCTCTCACTGTCCACTCTGCCTGTTAAAAAAAAAAAAAGAAAGAAAGAAAGTTGTTGTACCATTTTGAATTCCTACCAGTTCCTGTTACTCTGTATCCTTGCCAGAAATTGTCAGGTTTTTAAATTTTAGCTATTCTAATAGGTGTGTAATGATATCTTTCTGTTTTAAGTTCTCATTCCCTAATGATAAGTGATGTTGAACCCTTTTAATGTGATTATGTGCCATTTGTATTTCTCTTTTGATGAAGTATCTGTTCAGGTCTCTTACCCATTTTCAAAGTGGGTTGTTTGTTTTCTTATTGTTGAGTTGTAAGACTTTGTGTATTTTGAATTTAAGTGCCTTACAGATGTATACTTTGCAAATATTTTCTCCTACTCAGTGGTTTATCTTTTACTTTTTGTAAAATGTGTTTGTTAATTTGAAAGTCAGAGTTATACAAAGAGAGGGAGAGATGGAGAAAGAGAGATCTTTTATGCACTGGTTCACTCCCCAAGAGATCACAATGGCCAGAGCTGGGCCAGGCAGAAGCCAGGAGCTAGGAGCTTCTTCTGGGTCTCCCACATAGG